TTCATCACTGCCCTCTCCCAGTCGGAGGGTAGGACTTTCAGGAGCACTGGCTGCTCCGAGTGCTCATGAAGACCTCGGCAGCCCGGGTTGAGCCTGTAACTGGGGCACCTCCTCTGACCTCTCTCTTGCTGTCCTTTGACCCCAGCTCGGGAGCAGCTGCGAAGGTCCCGCCACAGCCGCACGTTCCTGGTGGAATCCGGTGTCGGAGAGCTGTGGGCAGAGATGCAAGCAGGTAGGGGAGGGGACGGAGGGATGCCCTTGGCACCTACCGGGCACCAGTACGGATGGGCAGAAGGGCACATTCCCGAAGCCCGCCCCTTTCTCCAACATCAGCTGTACCTAACCTGGCATCTCCTCACTACGATCTGATCCCCTCCTCCACTCACAGCCACACCCCTAACTCCCACTCCTCCAGGGGTTGCGAGTCTCCGGAACCATTTCTCCCCCACACCCCAGTGCCCAGTTCAGGTGGCCAGAGGTTCAAGCACCTTAAACCCCTCACATCCTTCCCCTGCCCTTTGCAGGCAGGGCGCAGGACCTGGGGCAGGGTTGAAGGCTGGGTGAGGCTGGAGGGGGCGCCTAACTGAGGGTACGAGTCAGGCCCTGAGCGTGCGCCTGTGCTCGCCGCCACAGGAGACCGCTACGTGGTGGCAGACTGCGGAGGAGGCACCGTGGACCTGACGGTGCATCAGCTGGAGCAGCCCCACGGCACCCTCAAGGAGCTCTACAAGGCGTCTGGTGAGTAGCCAGGCGGCGTGGTCCCCAACAGCGCCCACTGCCCGCCGGGCGCGCTCTGATGCCTCCTGCTTGGTCCCAGGTGGCCCCTACGGTGCGGTGGGCGTGGACCTGGCCTTCGAGCAGCTGCTGTGCCGCATCTTTGGCGAGGACTTCATTGATACCTTCAAAAGGCAGCGGCCTGCTGCGTGGGTGGATCTGACCATTGCCTTCGAGGCCCGCAAACGCACCGCAGGCCCGCACCGAGCGGGGGCGCTCAACATCTCACTGCCCTTCTCCTTCATTGACTTCTACCGCAAGCAGCGAGGCCACAACGTGGAGACCGCCCTGCGCAGGAGCAGGTGGGCCCGGGGAGGCGGGCTCAGGCAGCGTTTGCTGATGCCGAACACTTACGCAAGGGAGGGTCGTAGGCCCCGGGGGAGGGTCCCCCAATCCAACACATACACATCATGCCGGCAGGGGGTGCAGGTAGGCGAGAGGTGTACCCCAGGTTTCATCATAGGATTCCGCAGCCGGAACTGAGGCTAGAGAGCCATGGGGGAGCAGGGGGCTCTCCATGCCTGTCTCCCTCCCCAATGCCCTGCCTGGCAATGCTCCTTGGCTTCTCTGCACGGAGGCAAAGGACAGGCCCCTCTCCTGGCCCCTCGTGCCTGAAACTGGAGCAGGCTGTCAGCCTGAGAGAGTCTGGTGGGGATGAGGGCCAACCTCTAGCTAGTGCACCCTTTCTCACACAATGGGCAGTCAGCCTGGAGGCAGGGGTAGGGTCCCCACACTGGGGCAAGGAGCTGGGACTTGATCTGTGGCCTCATGCCCCCTTCGCTGCAGCGTGAACTTCGTGAAGTGGTCCTCACAGGGGATGCTCCGGATGTCCTGTGAGGCCATGAACGAGCTCTTCCAGCCCACTGTCAGCGGCATCATCCAGCACATAGGTGAGTGCCTGAGTGCAGGTCCGTCCACGCCGCAGCCCTGTACACACCCCCATGTGGGATCCACGCCGCAACCCCGTACACACCCCCACGTGGGAATAACCCCATTACTGCCTGGGAGCCTAGAAACAGCCGAGCGGCAGGATGAGGCCTAGAATCCTCCACAGGAAAGAAGCAGTGCGGTGAGTAATAGCTAGGGGACAGGGTCTGTGGTCTTGCCAAATCAAAGAACCCCTGGTGCCTCAGTTTCCCCATTTATAAAATGAAGTGACCATATTGGGTTCCACAAACCACAAAATGGTGTCACAGGGATGGAATAAGCTAAAGTCTCCAGAGTGAGCAGTGTCTTGTACCCAAGTCAGGATGTTTGATGTGTGTAAATGAAATTTCTTTTCCCTTTTTTGGTTTTTGCCATGGGGCACGTGCCCTCGTGGAGAGACTGAGGGAGACAGTGAGAGGGAAAGTAAGAAATCACGCCCTCCCACACACACACCCAGGGAAGTGTCCATAATCCCTTCTCCATTTTCCTGGGATTTGGGGGCACACACGCACCCGTGCCCAGCGTGATTTTTAAGCTTCCAGGTCCGAGACTAGAGCAGTGGTCAGCCATGTGGGAGTCCAGGGCCTTTACCGCCACGGCACCTGCGGGCCGCATAAATACATCTTATCCCACCCGATCCGCCATGCAGTAGAGAGGAGGGTAGAGTGTCAGGGAGGCAGAGCTCATGAGGATTGCCAAGAGCCCTTGGTGAAAGCACTGGGCATCTCGCTTCATCAGAACCGGGTTATAGTTTGGGCGTAGGGGTGGCCTGTAGTGGTGGCCTCCGCAGCTCGCGTCCTGCCCCCCCTACTCCTTTCCTTCTCCTCACCCTCTACCCCTCCCTGTCCCGCAGAAGCGGTGCTGGCTCGGCCAGAGGTGCAGGGCGTGAAGCTGCTGTTCCTGGTGGGCGGCTTCGCGGAGTCGGCAGTGCTGCAGCAGGCGGTGCAGACGGCGCTGGGCGCCCGCGGCCTGCGTGTTGTGGTCCCGCACGACGTGGGGCTCACCATCCTCAAAGGCGCCGTGCTCTTCGGCCAGGATCCGGGCGTGGTGAGAGTGCGCCGCTCGCCGCTCACCTACGGCGTGGGCGTGCTCAACCGCTTTGTGGCTGGGCGCCCCCCGCCGGAAAAGCTGCTGGTTCGCGACTGTGCCGCCGAGGACGCGCGCTTCATCACCGACCCCGGCGTGCGCAAGTGCGGCGCGCTCAGCCTGGAGCTCCAGCCGGCCGACGGCTGCGCGGACTCCGCTGCTGCGCCCCCGGGCCGCCGCGAGATCCGAGCTGCCATGCAGTTCGGCGACACCGAGATTAAGGTCACCGCCGTAGACGTCAGCACCAATCGCTCTGTGCGTGCCGCTATCGACTTTCTTTCCAACTGAGGGCGTGCCGGCTTGGTGCCAGCCCGAATCTGCCCGGCCCCGCCCTCTTTCTGTTCCTGGGTCCGAAGGGCTGGGTGGGGCCCAGGAACCGCTTGTTCTGATGTCAGGCTTGTTCTGATGTCAGCGCTCCTTTCCCGGTCCTCTAATCCCGGGGTAGGGTAGGGATTAGATCATGGGAGAGCGGGTGGGGGCACGGCCAGAGGATCAGATTTTGGAATTGGGCCCTGGTCCGCTGACTGCAGACTGAAGGGCCAGGCCAAGGACAGCGGGGGGGAAAAGTGAAATTTGGAACAGGTTTGCAAGAGGCGCATGATCCCGAAGGCAAAATGCAACAAAAGGGAGAACCCTGGCCGGATCATGGGGGAGGGTGCGTAGGAAGGAGGCCGTTGGGACGGAGAGGCTGCAGAAGCAGCAGGACTTTGTGCCTGGCCCGGACCTGCAGGGCCAGAGTTCACCGATAGGGGTTCTGCCATACAGGGTTCTGGGCAGAGCAACCCTGTGCAGGCAGGCAGGAAGAGACTGGAGGTGGACAGCGGAGGTACAGGTGTGTGGCACCTTTGGCTTGATACTGACCCCCAGGTATGACTGCTAATTGCAGGAAGGCCAGTAGCTAATGGGGAGAAGAGTATGTTATGGCGAAGGCAGGTTACAGGGGACATGGGGGGGGAGGTTATGGTGGCAAGCCGGGTAGGGGGCATTTCATGACAAAATACCTATCTGAAAAGGCCATAAGGGATCACTTGCATCCCACACCAGTAACGGAAAGGAGTTAGGGGTCTAGGGCACAGGGGATAGGGGAACAGAGGAAGCAGGGGGGTGGGGTGGAAGAGGGTTGCGGGGGACTGGTCCCAGCTCTGCCCTCTACTTGGTGTGCCGTTAGGATATTTCCTGATTACACGTGGGCCTCGGTGTCTCCAAGTGTGAAATGCCAGGCACCTCTTTCCAACCATGACATGCAACAGCCCCACTGCCTGAGAACTCTTAAGGTGACAATAAAACATTTATGCTCATGGGGAAGCCACAGCCTGCTGGTACCTCCATGCTGTTTGGAGTTGTGTAGGGGATGTGGGTTCTAGAGAGGAGGGAGAGCTTAGCCCTGTCCAGGGCTGGGAAGTAACCAGAGCACCAGCTGCCATCTCCTGGCAAGCAGCCCAAACGACTCCCCCACTCCTTCAGACCTCTGGCCTGGGCAGGCGCCCCCTCCCCATCCAAACCAATTGTCTTGGCAACCAATCTCACGCCTAAAATGTCACCTGTGTGTACCTCTTCTGGGTTAGGGGCTCTGCTACCACACTGTGTCCTTGCCCACTGAGAGTGCCAAGTCCTTCCTTAGTCCATTCTTGAACAAAAATCTCGCTAGCCACTGGTACCCACTGGAAGTTTTATTTCTTTAAGGTTCTATCCCAATCATTCATTTAAAAACCAAGTAACACAGACCTGAGGGGTAAGGGTTGAGGACTGCACTCCCTCCTACTCACCATGGACAGCAGTGGGGAAGAGGGAGGGCAGGAGAGGGCTGAAGAGAGACAGCAGCAGCAGTAATGGGGCGATGCATCACAGAGCCAGCTCCATCCTCTCCCAGACCCTGGCTGGAGCCCCTATGGCTTGGGGTGAGACGTGGGCAGAACCTACCCCAGGCCCTTCCACTTCCGTCCTCAGATAGCCTCCTTGGGGGCTCAACCCATTTCTTCTGGCAGGAGACTGAGGCACACAGAGAGGAGGAAGTGGGAGAGGAGGACACAGGAGAGGCAGGGTGGTGGCATGAATGAAGGCAGAGGTGAGAGGTGGGCGAGGCTCCAGCTTGAAGGCCCCTGGACTCTCCACCCCTGTGCCCACCCAGGGGAGGGGTGAGGAAGCCACATCAACACGCAGCATGTCGGGGAGACAAGGAGGGGTTTAAGGCTGAGGGGCCCCAAGGCAGGCAGGCCGCAGGCCTCAGTCGAAGCCGTGCCAGTCGCTGTGCTCGGAGTCGTATTCCAGCTCAGCGCCCACGCACTTGACACCGTCCAGCAGCATGGGTGTGCCATGGTGCCTGTCTGCAAGGCAAGAGTGCAAGTCGGTGCGCTGTGCTGCGTCCCGGGCGCCACCCACAAGCCCACTGTGAGGGGACAGGCTGCAGGAGGAGAGGCCAAGCCCCAAGTGAGCAAGAACCCCTTTTCTGAGACCCGGACTCCAGAGGGCTGGACAAACCCTTGCAACCCAGCTCGCACCTCCCTCCTCCAGCCGGACCCCGCCTCGCTCTCACCCATGACGCGCGCCTGCACCATCACGCGCACGCAGGCCCCGGCGCCGCCTTCGCAGGCCAGCAGCATCTCCTCTTTGAGGACGCCTTCCTTGTGCGCCGAGTACTCGCACTTGACGCTGTAACCTGTGCAGAGGATCCGGCAGCTGAGCAGCACGCCTCCCCTGCTCCCAGCACTCCTTGGCCCACCCCCACTTGGCCACTATCAAGGCTGCCGAGCCTCCTTGACAAGCAACAAGGACGACCCCTCCAGAGCCCCCTCAGGGTACACAGGCTTGGGAACTTCCCATTTGAAGTTCTTCGGTGAACTAGACTAGACGTGCCTCTGGCCTGCAGGTCACTCCAGTAGGGTGCTAAGGGTGGAGAACGGTCAAATTCCATCTTCCAAGAGAAGGAGCAGCTGACTTCCCCAAAAAATAAAGCTGGGAGAGCGAGTGATGGGGGAGATAGGGGCGCAAGGGCAAGATTTGTGTGGATCAGGTGGCAAGAAGCAAAGGCCCGAGGTGATTTCAATCCACTGTGGGCCAAGATCATGAAGAGGTAGGGGATGGGGGTGGGGATGAAACAGAAGCTGGGGCTCCGAGGGCCGCACACTGGGCACCCTGGCTTCTGTCAGGTTCTGCATGGAGGTTGGGGGGTAGGACAGGGGATCCAGGTCGGTACGGAGAAGCAGCCTGAAATCCAAGGCCCTGGACTGGTGGGTGCTAGGAGTTAGTGCCCCGAGTGCCTACAGGGCAGGAGGGCAGGAGGATTGGAGGCCTAAAGCCAGTTCTTCAGTGGCTCCCATCTCAGCCACCTTCCCACTAAGGTGGTAACTGTCATGTGAGACTGCAGTGTGAGACCACAGACTTCCATCCAGGAAGTGCGGCCCAGGGTGTGAGACCTGCCAAGCTCATAGAACAGCACCATGTCCATCCTACATGGGGGGAGGACAGCACCCCACATTCTTACTCCCACTGACATCCAGGCCCTGTGCAGGCAGGCCTCCTCCACCTTGAGGAAGGGGACACACCTTCAGGGACAGGCACGACGCTAAGAAGCTTGAGGTGCAGGCTGGGGACAGGTGCCTCGTGGATGTCCTTGCTCAGCCGGTGCACCGGGGGCAGCGTGAAGGTAATCTCATACTTGTGCAGGATCTTCAGGAAGCCAACCTGCAGCAGCAGCGGGGAGGGAGAGACACCTTCACTCACTGCCACTCAGGGCCCACCTAGATCATGTCAGCTGTGAGCCTTGTGGGTCTCGGCACCTGCTTTCCTGGACAGCCCAGGGAGCCTGACTTCCTCCATCACTCTGGCTGGTCCACACCAGGCCCTCTGATAAATCGCCTTCCCAGAAGGACCTCATCCCCACAGCTGAGCCAGCATGCTCCTCAGCATGTCTCATGGGCCCTACTGTCCTCAGTAATCCTTACTTCCCCCATAGGGTACGTGTACTCACTGGAAAGAGACAGAGAGAAAAGGAAAGTGATAAATCCCCTCTCTCCTTTGAAGGGATGGCCACGCCACAATCCCTTCCCCTCTCAGTATTTTGGGCATGCATACACAAGCACCCAATGTGTCTTTCAAGCTGCTGGGTCTAGGCCTCAGCACGTAGTTGGTCACATAGTCAGCTATGTGGCATTCAGCGCCTTAACCACCATGCCACCCGGCTGGCCCACAGTAACCCATTTCCCATTTCACAGATGGGAAGAGCAGCCAGCAAATGACTGGCTGAAGGCACGGTCAGGTAAAGTCCTCCCTAGACCTCTTGGCTGCCGTGCATGGAATGCACCAAGGCATCAGACACTGCCCATCAGGGGAGGGTCAAAGTCCCATGGCAGGCCAGCACCTGCCTGAGTCAGTAGCCATGTCAGGGATACTGATGCTCCAGTGACTCCGCCAGCACGGATGAGGGATGGGATGGAATTAGATACACGGACATAGACCAGTTGTGTCAGACCAGAGCCTGCCCGCAGGCCTGCACCAGCCAATGAACCTGGGCTCCTGCCTGTCCTGTTGGCACCTGACCATGGATATCTGCCTGTCCACTCAAAGGTTCATTGTGCCCTATGACCCCTACTTAGGGCCCAAGCAACTTCTGTTGTTCACACACGGTGCTTGCAACTGATGTCCTCTGGGACAGATACCTCCCAGTGGCACGAAGGGTTACAAGCTGGTGTCTGCTGAGCAGAGTGGCTGGCAGGAGTGCCAGTCTAACAGGCACATAGCCACAGCTCACATGCGCACAAAATCCTGCTCACAGTGTGGTAACCAGAGTGGGATGGCCCCACCCCTGGGGACCAGTTGAAACTGGGTTTGAGAAGCTTTCAGCCTTTCAGTGGGTTCCATCTGATGTTATCCCATGGGAAACCTCGATGCACACGACCCCCTTGTACACTGCTGGTGGAGGACCCTCCTCTCCAGGCTCTGGTTGTGCCTCCCAACTCTGACCCTGTGACCCAGCTCCCCACTTGCCTAATTTTCCAAGGTAATACTCACACGTGAAAAAAAAAAAAATCATCACTGCCCTATTTTTAACAGTGAAAACCAACCGTAACACCCAGGAATAGGGAACCAGTTAAATCAGTGGTGAGACCTATAATGAAATGCCAGGCAGCTGGAAGATCTTGTGGAAAATTATTTACTGACACAAGCAAGAGACAGTTCATAACAGAAGCAAGCAAGATACAGCGTGTACACCAGCTTTTTGTTTTTGAAAACAAAGCTTTAAAAAAAAAAGCTGTGATGACACACATCAAAATATTAACCATGGTTATTTCGGGATGGTATGACTGCGGCTACTCTTAAATTTCTTTATATTTATCTTCCAAATTTTCTCTAATAGACATGAATGGATTTCGCAATGAGGGAAGGGAGCTATTTTTAACTTTCCGTTCATTCTGTCTATCCCCTTGGGGAAGATGTCAGCTGTAGAAGGGTGAGGATTTTACAGCTGGGCAGAAATGGATATAAACCTGGGCCCCTTTCTGAGCAGGGTAGCACGCCCCTCCCCAGGGTAGTCTCCATGGATCTGACCTCCGTCTCCAACCCCCACCTCCACTCCCCTGCTTAATCCTGGACCCCTGGTTACTTGACCAGCCTGAAAGACTCAATCCCCAATCCAGCCCCTCCAGAGACTCCCTGCTGTCCCTTCCAAAAGGGTGTGGGACCCACAGTGTCCTAGCAGCTGGAGGCAGGCTGGACGGTGAGTGGTATGCAGAAGAGGCGGGTGCTCCACCAAACAGAAAACATGAGATGATAAATACTGCTGCAAAGAGCCTATATCAGTCAGGCTTGGCCAAGAACCAGCTTAGAGGAAAGGAGACAGACAGGCCTGGGAAGCCAGGGAGGAGACAGAATCAAGCTGATGATGGGGGAGGTGTGCATGTACCTTGACCAGAAAGCTGCTGTCACTCTCCTGGGTGACCATGACCACTGAGTCATGCAGTTTCTCATCGAAGTGGACGTGGCTCTGGGAGCCTTCTGCATCGTGACCTCCGGCAAAGCGGATACTCCGGACTCTGGGCTTGTTGCCTAGGAAGAGTGGGAGAGGGCTTCAGGGCTGCTTTTACCTCTACCTAGGAAACTATGCCCACTCATCCTTCCCCAGGTACCTCTACCCCTAGGAAACTATGCCCACTCATCCTTCCCCACCCCCAAACCGTCCTTCATATCAAGGAGTCCACACAAGGGCTGGATTCCTTTCAGAGCTGGGCAGACACTGAGGATCATGAGGCTTGAGACCTCTACTCTACCCCTACCTGCCCAGTTGTCTCACAAAAAAGCACCCCTGAGAGTGCCCTGGGGGAACTCGGGGACTGGCTAGTAGGACTCCTCACTTGGAGCCAGAGACAGAAGCAAGAGAGTCCTCCGGGCTCACACAGCAATAGGAAGTGCGGGGCTCAGCCCAGGCCATGGGCGCCCTGCCCCAGTGCTCTCCTTCAATGTAAAAGCTCCCCATCCCTGGGACCTTCGCTTTCAGGTGCATGAGGCCTGCTTGCCCCTCCTAATGATGCCAGCCTGGGGAACAGGTCAGGACAGGAAGGAGCTCTAGGGGACTTATTTGGGGTGGGAGAAATAAAAGAAGGAGGGTAAAAAAACACGCAGCCTACCTGTGAGAGGCTGCAGCAGCCACGGAACCCCACTGATGCCAGGCAAGAAGGAAGAACCCATGGAACCTCCCAGAGATGCTCTTCCCTCCTCTGCTTAGCCTGCCATGAAGACCGTCAGCTGTCTCTGAGCTCGGTCGGGGTCTCCCAGACCTCTACAAAGGACAGATGCTGAGACAGGCAGAGGAGCAGAGAACTGGGCTGGATAAATGCTAAGGCTGGGGGACACACAACTGTGACCCCAGTCCTCTCTGACCCTTTAGCCCTCGGCCTCCCAAGAGGCCTGCTCAGAGTCCTTTAGCTGGGCCAGCCTTTGCCTGAGTTCTTGGACACTCAGCAGGCCCCAAGGACCAGCTTGACACTTCCACAAAACCTGTGAGTCCCACAGACCTGACCCTATCTTACCAGATCCCTCTTGCCTAAAACTTTCCCTTCTAGACTCTTCCCTGGCTTGCTGTGGTCCTGCCCTCCTTGCCAGCCTCAGTGCTTACCACAAGCCCCTCCTGTCCCCTCATCCCTGCAGTGGAACAGAGGGGCTGGGACATGGGGACACAGAGCACACACTTCCATAGACCAGTGTGCTTAGGAGCCAGCAGAGGTCCCTTTAGGGCTTAGGTGAGCCACTGGACATGGCACAAACATGGCATATTCCAAATCACACACACACACACACACACACACACGGCTGACGTAGGCCCTGCAAGCAGCAGTGCCCTGTCCACCAGGGCCCACGGGAACAGCTCATGCAAAGCCCATAAGTCCAGGGAGGCACTCACCTTTGTTAGCTGCAGCCATGGACACCCTCCCTGCTACGGGGCGAGATGCGCAGCTCCTGCCGGACACCGCAGCTCAAGCTCAGCAGCCTCCCATGCTCCGGGGACCCCAGCAGGAGCCTGAAGGATGCAGGTGGTGGAGAGGGCAGCAGTCAGGGGCACCTGTGCACCAGTGGCTGGAGATGAGCAGAGGAGTATCCTAAGAAGGAATCAAGGAGCCAGCAGGTGGCATGGTGGTTGAAGCACTGGACTTCCAGGTGGCCGACTACAGTTCAAGTCCCAGACCTGGAAGCTTGCTTTCTCATTCTCCTTCTCTGTCTCTCTCTGGTCAAATTGAAGAATAATAATAAGTAAAAATTAAAATAAATAATTCTATTTAAAAAGAAGAAGAAAAAGGAATCAAACCTCTGCTGCTCTCAGCAGCCCAAGTGTTGCTTGCATTTTTCAGCAAAGGAGCTGCACCCCTGCCCTGTACCACTGCCTACATTCACTGAGCCCTCACCCCACCTGATACCCCACTGCCCCAGGAGCCACCAGCACAGATCGAGCTACAGCTGCTCTTGGGCCAGCCCACCTGGGGCTGACAAGATGGGCAGCCTGGAAAGAATAGAGACTTTACTGGGACTTTGCATGGGGCTAGTTCCAGCACTGCTATCCCAAGAGCTGGGCCCCGAGTCTGCATTATTTAGATCACACAACCAAAGCATCTGGGTGTAGGTCAGAGTTAACAGTATGCTTGGTGGAGGGAGGTGGAGGGTCACAGGAGACAAAGGTATCCTTGGAGCTTTCTCTCCCGGTGACCAGGCAGGGCCACACACGGGAGACACCTGGGGAGGGGGTGGGCTCCATCTGAACCTGCCACTTACAACCTGGCCCAAGTCTCAGGGTGGCTCCCTGCTCAGCTCCCAGAGGGCAGCCTCAGTATCAGGGCAGTATGAAGCACCCCTAGGAAGCTGCCAATGGGCTGGGCAGGGACCATGGAAGCATTAAAAGGAATACTGAATGCACCATGGAAGCATCAAAAGGAATACTGAATGCAACTGACGCAAACAGATGGGTACATCCAATCAGAGCATTTGCAGAGATTACCACAAAAGAAAGCAAGCAAAGTAAACCGAAAGCCTCATTTGTCACCACAGACAGTAGCAATGCCCGAACTCTGCTCTGAAAACTGGCAATTAAAGGGAAATAATTCAGCCTCTCTCTTTTTCCCTTCCTGTAACCATACTGCCCTGGTGGTGGAGGAAAAGAAGACGGTCTTTACACAAGACTTCTCCCTACTACATAGCAAAGGAATGACCAAACACCAAGTCATTCTGCAGCCCCCAAAGAAACAAATGCGGGAGGCAACGGATGTCTGTGGGTGCTATACCACGAGGAAGGTAGTTACTCACAGATCCCCAAGAATCCCAAACAGAGGGCCTGCTGTTGTTTTTAAAAGACTAACCCAAGTGACATCATCTAGTCACATTGGTCAGTCCCCCCTCACTCACCATGGGACAACCTGACACACCGATACTTCCTGCTAGGAGGCAGCCTGAAGTCACAGCATCGCTGGCAACGGACTCCTGCCAAAATGTTTAACCTGGATCTAACTGAGCCTCTAGCTCGACTGCTCATTTACTGAAAACACAGAGGACAGCGAAAAAAATTAAATGACTCTGAGAAAGCAGTGAGACCAGTCAGAAGGTGCGATATTCTCCAGGACACTGACCTTTTTTTTTTTTTCAAATTGCAAAAAGAAAAATAAAGGAAAATTGCTCTACATAGAGAATGGGCAAACTACTGCCTGTGGGGAACACCCCCCGTTATTTGTAAATAAAGTTTAACGGGGAGGCAACCACACTCATTCATTTACATGCTGTCACAACTGCTCTTGCACTAGAACTAAACTACTTTGAGTCACTGTGACAGAGGCCATCTCATTTGCAAGTCTAAAATATTTACTATCTGGACCTTCACAGAAAACGTTTGCCAAACCCTGTTCTAGGTTAACACACACTTAAGAGGCAAGAAGACAGGATAACCTACAGGATGACTGACCTGGTTTTTTCACATCAGTTACAAGAAGAAAAATAAATGGGGGGTGGGGGTTCTTCCTTTCTTCCTCCTTTTCTCTCAGCCCTCCCTACTTCCTTCTTTCCTTCCTTCTCTCCATCCTTCTCCCCTTGCTTCCATTCTTCTTTCCTTCCTTTCTTTTTTAATTGCCAGAGGGCACATGCACTTACCAGATACACACACACACACACACACACAAACACACACACAGAAAGCACTTTCTAATGGCAGCCAGTTACATCACAACCCCTTTTCCTCCATTTCTCCATTGGGGTAGGATCCTGAGCACATACGCACATGCACCTGGTATGTTTTTCAAGTCTCTGGGTCTGGGATTTGAACCACAGTTGGCCATATGAAATCTGGCTTTCCATGCATAGCCCTTAACTGTGCACTATGGGGACAGCCCAGGGATGGCATTTCTAAGGACTTACAAAAATGACCTTTGGAGGGTAATTGGGAAATGAGAATGTTAGATAACACTAAGAAAACGAGTTGTTTTGTTAGATGGGATCATGGAATTGTATTATGTAAAGAAATATGTCCTTATGGGTCCAGCAGATGTCATAATGGTTACATCGCTGGACTCCCGTATAGTCAACCGCAGTTCGAGACCTGGACCCAGTGGCTTGAAATACATGCCGGGCATGCCCAAAATCCTGAGAGGAGAATGGAGAAAAAGGGATTTCAGTGTGGTCATTACCACTGGGGAGGGGGTGCTCTCTGTCTCTCCAGCGAGCATGTGCCTTATAGCAAAAAAAAAAAAACCTCTCAAAAAGAGAGAAATATGGGACCAGCAGTTAGCGTAATGGCTATGTCGCTGGACTCCCATGTACTCAACCACGGTTCAAGTCCCGGACCCGGTGCTTAAACTCATGCCGGGCACATGTGCGTATGTGCCCATGATCCCAAGAGGAGAATGGAGAAGTGATTGCGGTGTGGCCATCCCCCTGGGGGGTAATTTCTCACTTTCTGTCTCTCTCTGTCTCTCTGGTGAGCGCACGCACCCTATAGCAAAAACCTCTCCCCCCCCAAAAAAAAGAGATAAATATGTCCTCATTTTTAAGAGAAATGCTTAAGTATTTTGAGTGACCTGTGAGTAACCTTAGCTAGTCCAGGGAATAAAGAGAAACCACAGGACAATCCCACGGTCAGGGGCTGGACCTGCTGAGGGCTTGAGCTCCAGGGCAGGAAGCAGGTGTGGTCTCACCTCCCTTTCCACTTCTCCAAGTGAGAGAAGTCCCAGGCTAGGCCCGCCTGTGGGCAGGGCGTTCACAGCTTGGGTACCAGGAGCTCCTGGTACAAGGAGGCCTAGAGAGATGAAGGCAAGGGCAAGGGTTCGGCCTCGGGAATGCAGGAGCAGCCAGGGCAGGGACAACCCTAGGTCAGCACCCTGGAGGCTAGCTTCCAGGCCCCGATCCAGAGCAGAGAGAACTACGCCCCATTCACCCCTGGCCAGGGCCACTCCGAGATCAGTAACCTCAGCCCTGAAATGCTTGGCTTGTCCCCAGGAAGCCTGGCCTTGGAAAGCAGCCTGCCCCCAACCCTCCCACTCTAGTCATCCCCTGAAGCTGTGAACTCAGAGTATGTGACAAAGGCCAAGCACAAGGGTGTCAGGCCCTCTTCCTCCCGTGCTGCTCCAGCCACACCTCTACAGTCATAGGACAGTGACAGCCCAATGTTCACAAGGTCCCCCATCTCCCAGGATACTGGCTGGAGGCCCAGGTGAACCCTTAACCAGTGGCTGGTGATCAAAGGCTGCTGGAGACCCTTTTCACAAAAGGCTCCACTCCAACCATGCAGGGCCCCCTCCCTGTCTCTTCCCAACCCACTATCTGGCTGTTGCGAGGCTTTGCCCAGGCCAGAGAGCCCCCCTCCCCGCATCTCCCATCCATACCTTAGCCTGGGTCTCAAGCTGCATCCCTTTTTTAAAGAAGCACCCTCCTGCCCCCTCCCAGATCTCAGGATAGGCCTGAAACTCTTTCCAGGGTCCCCTTTCTCACTACTGAGATCATCTGGTATCTACCTTGCCCACCTTACGAGGGCAGTGACAGCGTTTTGCCCACCCCTGTGTTCCTAGCACCTAGCACAGCAAGGAAAGGGAGAAGGCTGTGTTCAAGTTATGTGTGTCGAATGCACAGACGACCACACGAAGGGGAGCCCAGCTATTTGCCCTGGCCGGGCTCTCTAGCAGATGTGGTGTGGTTAGGGCCAGCAACTTAGAGCGGACGCTCTCAGGAAGAGGAACTCCCCCCCCACCCCTGCTTAGCCAACCCCTGCCCTGGAAGGCACTCCCTTCCCCCCACCTCACACCCGTGGCCTCACTGGGCATTCCTCGGGCCTCACTACCTGCCTGTGCCCACCTTGAGGTAGAAATCCACCCACGTCTCTTGCAGTGCCCAGCACTCAGTACAGAGCAAGTGCCAGGAACTGCCTGTAACCCTCTACCAGGAGGTGAGAACACACAGGACGGGGAGGCAAGGCTGAAAACACACAAACCTCCTTTCTGAGCAGAGTCCCACCAGTCACTGTCCCCTGGGACCTAGACTCTCACCCACACGATTCCTCATCAGAAGCAGGAAAAGAGGGCACTGGAGCCTCTCCTGGTGCAGCCGAGTACACAGAGCACTGCAACCCCCAGCCTGGCCCTGACTCCAGCCTCCTCCTGTGCCAGCCAAGTCCCCGCTGTGGCCCCAACACACGGCCCCAGAGGCTGCAGTCCTGGTTTAAATTCAGGCTCTGCCCTTGCTGGCTGCAGGGTGAGTTATTCACGTCTGTCCCTCAGTTTCCTCATCTGTAACACAGGAATAAGCAGCAACCTCTTCCTCCCAGGGTGTGGTGCAGCTGTACCTGAAGCTCTATGAAATGTACCCCACACCCCAACCCCTGCAAAAGCAAACCCCCGAAGGTCTGGTTTCTAAAGCGACGGCAATTTCAGCAGCACAGGCGGAGAGGCACATCAGGTCAATCCTGGAGGAGCCAGAAGCGGCCCACAGAGGGGGCCCCAGGGACTTCAGGCTCTTGGAAAACAGCTCAAGGATTGAGAGGGCCTCCCTCTCCTTGCCATCCTCTTCTACTCCCAGGGCAGCTGGGCCCCTAGGGAGGGCCAGAGAGCAGACTGCTAGGAGCCTCCTATCCCTCCAGTCAGATGGTTTACAAGGAAGAAGTGGAGAATGCACATCCGGGGAAATGTCCAGGAGGTATGTGGTGTCCTTCCCCAGGGACTGAAAAGAGTGATCAGCCAGCAGCTTCCCCATGAGCTGTCAACAGATCAGGCGTGGGACCCTGGACTGTCACAGGATGGGGAGGGCTGGAAAGCTGAGACAAGGCCTCGGGGGCTTTCTGGCTCTCAGTTGCTCTCAGGAAAACTGTGAAGAGAGAGCTGCCAGCTCAGGTCCCTCTACTTTAGAGAAAAGGGCTGCGGCAAGAGTGCACAGCAAGCGGACAGAAAAATGGATGGTTACGCAGAAACCCAGAATTCCCAGCTCAACTTCTGTCCCAGAGGGGATAGGGACCTCACTGGGGCCCAAGGCTCCAGACTGGAGGGAGGGACAAACACAGCCTGTCCATGACAAAGAGGCTCCCAAGCCTACCTCCCTCCTGCACCCACACGCCACATCTCTGCCCCACAGGCAGCCCCCCCAAACATTACAGGGCCAGCCCAAACTTCTCCTTGCATGTGGCTGGTTGCCCTCTACCTCTTAGATTTCTCATTCATTTCTCAATCCCTATTCTCAATCTGACCCAAGGACTTTCTCCGAGCCAGAAACTCCACAATATTCCACCTTCCTATCTCTCTCCTGCCCCCATCCTGGGGCTCAATCTTGGCTCACTCAGTCCAGCAGAAGCACCATTCAGCCTCCCATTGAAGCTCAAGCCCATAAGAACACTCACTGAAGCCTTAAGATGGGGCCACCCCAACTGCTGAATCCCAGATCCTGACATAGGACTGGGCAGCAGCCCCACTTGGGTCTTCGCACTTCAGGTCTAGAAAGGTCAGGCTGGAGGTCAGGTGTGATTCCCACCAACTCAGCCTCGATGTGACCTGATTTCCTCCTCCCTCCAGCAGGTCAAAGGTGCAAGTCCAGAGCAGGGGGAAAGTGAAATGGAGAAGATACCTCCACCACCCACACCCTCCTGCCTCCCAAGTGGCCCTCCTCTGTCCAGCCTCATCCTCCCTCAGCTAGAAGATGCTTAACCCTCTCTAGCCCCCAGATTGCTTGTCCCATCCAGGATTCCCCCTCCCTTCCCCACCAGTGGCCAGAGGCCCCAAGAAGCAGGTGCCAGGCTAGGTCCAGGGGGTAACAACTGCCCCTGATCTTCTTGAGCTTCCTGGAGCAAAGAAACACGCTGCTCCCATTTCTCTGTGCCCAGGTTCAAAAGAAAAGGCAAGCGAGGCCTTCCTTCACAGTCCAGTAGGGCCCTGCACACTAATGGGAACACTGGCCCAGAACCTAAATCTAATCCCTCCTGCTGGGGGCGGGGCAGGGAGGGCAAGCCCCTAGAGGCACCAGGGGCCCTAGTGTAGGACCCTATATCCTCTCCAGCCACCGCCCCGTGGGTGTGGCACCACCATCTCCGCCCCATTCTCGTCTTGTTGGGAGACAAACGCAGCTGAAAGCGTCCCCATCATACACGTCCCAAGCCGGGAGATGCCGGCTCTGTCCCTCACAGATAATCCTGTGTGCTCTGCACCCTCACCTCGGCTGACGCAGGAGTCTCCGGAGCCCGCACTTCCAGACATCTCCGCCCTCCACCCTGAGGGTGTCGAGGCCCGGGAGGCTCAGAGGCTATCATCCAAGGTCATACAGCGAGGCGGTGGCAATGGCAGGGAGGCGGGAGGGGGGTTCCCCGGGACCTGACATCGCCCTAGCTCAGGCCGTGTGGAGACCTCCAGGCCCGGCCCGGACAGCGGAGCCCCCTGCCCTACTCCAACCATCGCCGCCGGTGGGCTCCCAGCCCCGAATACCTACACGGGGGCCAGGAGGAGCTATCGGCCAGCCAGACGGAACCGGGAAGTGGGGAGAGGAGGGACTGTCTCACCTTGCGGGACGCACGTCGGGGCCGACCTGGCCAGGGACGCGGCAATGACGGTGGCGACGGTGGTGGCTGCGGCGGCGGCGGCGGCGGGGGCTCAACGCCGAGCACGAGGAAGGGAGCCCCGCGCAGCAGCAGCCCGCCTCAGGGCACGCCCCCGCCTCCGCCCATTGGTCGACAGGGGGGTGGGGCGAGGGATGCTTCGGCCCAATGAAGCGGCTCAGCTGGAGCGCCAGCGAGAGAGGAACCTCCTGCGTCACGTGCAGGGGGCGCTGCGGCTGCGTCCTGCGAGCCCGCGCCTACCCGGGCTCCGCGAGTTCTCGCGATGAGGGTGTCGGCCGCCAGACGTGGCCGGGGGCCAGCATGGAACTGAAGGGGGAGAGAAGAGAACCTCGGATAGGTCCCGCCCTGTCCCACCTGCTGCGGCGGGGGTGGCGGGCTGGGGGGTTGCAACACCCGCTTCAGTCCCCACTTGGGAGGGGCCTCCCCTGGGCCTCGCCCCCTCGGGCGACGGTTAAGTGGAGTTCAGGGCTCGATTTTCTCCCTAGGCTTCCACGCCCGCATCCGCAGTGGACATGGGTCACGTTAGTCCAGTCCAATAGCTGGAGAACCTCCATCCGTTCCGATTTCCGGCCCCCGGGTTTCGGCCTCTTCCCCTTCCATCCCGTCTCCCTCCCTCGGAGGAAGCGCCCCCGCTCAGCCCCAAGAAGCGTCCTGGGAGCCCAGCCGGGGTGGATAAGCATCAGACAAAGAAGGCACGCGGGGTGGGGGTTGGGAGAGCCGGTGCCGCGCCCCCGGGACCGCAGCCCCTTCCTGGTCTCCATGGAGGCGGTCGCTATGGCAGCGGGATGCGCCTCGCGCGGTACCCCGGGGAGGATGCTGCCGCCTCCACGGGGCGGGGAGCGAGGGGCGTGGCCCGTGGGTACTCAGGTGTTCTTGCCACAGCTCTGCCTGCGGGTCCGTGAACACCCCTCCACTTCGCGGTCGGGGACAGATTCCCGACAGCGCTGGCGGAGGAGCGGTCTGGAGCACGTAGCGGTCTGGCACTTGGATGGCTGAAGGCCAACTTTCTTTTGGAAGGGCCGGGGTCCCTTCCTGCTTTTGAGAAGATCTCAGGGTTCCCACCCTCGGCGGGATTCCAGAGGTCCCTAACCTGCGTTCTACACTCCGGCTCGCCCCCTGTTGGCAAATTATTCTTTCTGAGCTATTGTCCGCCTCCTACGCCTGCTCAAAAGCGCTGTGCTCTAAGGTTGACTGCAGCGAAACTTCACAAACTTTAGCAGCATTTCGGGTCATCCCTGCGCTCTCAGGCATTTGAGATGTCGTCCTCCAGCCTGGACATTGGGTGCTTTCTACATCTTGGTCTCAGCCCACTGCTGCCCACTCCCACCATTCCATACGCTCCACTACCCTCCCCCAACCCCAACACACACACATTTTTCCCTTGTCTTTTCTTTAAGGTCTGAAGTTGGCAGACAGTGGGCTCAAAGTAGCCTGCAGATGGTTTTTTATGCTCACATGGGCTATTAAGTTTTTCTCTCCTTCCGTCTTTCTGAAAATCAGGAATCTGATTCCTCCCTGCC